GTATACGGGTAGGAAGTCAGTGCATGAATTTTTAGCAAATGCCTACTTTCTTTCCAAAGTATATAAACAGAAAAGCATTTTAGTGTTTGATTATTACAACATTTAAAATCAGCACATTTACAAAAGGCCTGAAAAAAGCCCCTATGAGAATGTGAACACAATGCCACTCACCCTCTACCCCCAAGTCCAGTCCACTTTGATTTAGAAACTTAGGTTGTAATGTTATGCCTACTCATCATCCAAATAGATATTTATAGAATTTTACAAAATAAGTTTCTGGGAATTGTTTCACATTGGTGAAAAACTGCAACAGGACAATATACCTTCTACTCCGCTTTCTGATAGTGGAGTGAATTAAGGAGGAAGAGTGAATGCTTTAAATTCCTCCTACAATATTCTGGCTTCTCTTGACAGTGATTGTTGCTTTATGGCTGAGTGATATGCCCCTGCTACCATCACTGATTGGCACAATAATCAGTCTTCTCTCTCCCTCTAGTATACTTTGTCACCTTAATAACCAGTGAGAGTGTTGCTGCATGTAACTTATTCATTCATCCATTCATTCATAATTAGCCGCCCAGAGTAGACTTTGGTCTAGATGGGCGGATATAAATTTAATACATAATATATATATATAATGTTTTTACCCTGCCTTTCTCCAGAAAAAAGACTTAAGAGTTGTGTTTGCTTAATCAGTCACAGGAAGACTCTTGAAAACCATGCTGCCTAATAATACGTGCTTGAGCAGATGAACACAAAGTATACATTTACATCATTGTTCAATCTATCTTTTTCTTGAAAACATTTATGAAATAGAAAGGTGACATCTGATCTGTTGATCGTACAATAAAATAATAGAAAGGCGTTTTCGTAACTACAGCATGTAGTACAATAACAAAACTTGTGTAGCCAGAACAGATGATTGAATGTGCTTGCGTGGGTCTGATAATGATTTTTTCCTTCTCATGTATTGTTGACTATTTTTGGAGTTGATTGATTCTCTGTTGCCTTGGTTTTCTGGGTTTGGGGGTATGTGTGTTGGGGGGGGGGAAAGAGATTTTAAGAATTCTATGGAGCTTCTGAAGTGCCTGAAAACAAGAATGAGAAACTGCCAATGATAGAACCTGAAAGAGGCTTTCTTGTTATATAAAAGGATCACTATACAAAAACATGAAAAATAAAGCGGGCATTTGCAAAAGAACCCAAAACAAAAGAAATATCAAACTTTTCACTGAACATATCATCAACCCTTTCCCGGTGTAACTTATACAATAGGATTTTGGCCTCAGTGTTCAAAAATACCACACCCCATACAGTTGTAATCATTTAAACCATCTGAAATAGCTATAATTGTTTCTCCCCATAGTGCAGAAAGGTGGGTTGAAGCAGAGGATCAAATTAAACAAGACAGTCAGCTTTCATTCAGAAGTGGAGCTCCCTTGAAGGTGTTAAATGATGTCTGTATGTCCTAGCCCATAAGCTTTTCTTACCTTTATTTGCAAGTCTGATAGCTCAAACATGTAGCTCTGAAGAAATCCCATCACTGAAGGGCAAATGTAGTATTAACTTCTAAATGTGAGCTGAACTAGTTTGGTCTAAGAAATATTGGCTCACTTAAGGCCACATAGTGATTTCATAGCAGAAGCAAGCTTCCAGTCAGGGACACTGTCATTTTCACTTAACTCTTTCAGCCAATATGCTTCACCAGCTTCTAAATCCATGGGCCCAAATCCAATTGTTAGTCTCAGTTAGGGCAGACCCACAGAATCAATTGCTAAATAGCAGCTATATAGCCACCAATTTCATGGCACTGTTTCATTTGGGACTACTAGCTTTATTCAGGTAAAGTGCTCCAATGTAACAAGGATGTGTGGAATGCTTCTTAGGGCTTGGTTTGAATTTTTTGAAAAAAAAATTCTGTAAGTGGTACTGCACATCAGCTCTGCCCTAATTGGCTTACATTTTTTCCAGTCCCTCTATTGATCCATGGAGAAGCAGGGGAAGGAAGTTTTTAACCTTCCATTTAATTTCCCAGTTTCCCCATATCATTAAGTGGTTTTTTTATTTAAGATACTGATGATATGGGAATATTGACACCAGCTGGGAAATTAAAGCAGGAAGCTCACTTTGGTTCATTTCCAGTAATCACACATGCTGGAAATGAACCAAAATGGAGCAACACCAAGAAAGTAATAGCCCCTGATAGAGACAGAGAAAGGTATGATTAGTAATGCTCTGTGGATGAGCTGGTTCGCTCTAGCAATTGCATTGTCTGGTCACCAGAAAAAAGGAGCTAATCCACTCATGTCCACAGCAAACCAAACAGCTGGACAAATGCCCATCTGATCTCACCCTTACCTAGCAGCCTGAACCATGCTTAAAGTTACAAGGCCAAAGAAACTTCACTAGATTATGTATCAAGAAGTTGGCAAAGTTTCTTCCCTTGTTAGCTTGCCTATTTAATAAAAACTTACTGTATATTCAATATCACAGAGATACAGACACCTCCTGGCATAATATTATTTCCCCCCTCCCCCTGCTCCTTTTAGTCCCCTTTGCCACTCAAGTTCTGGCTGCAGAGAGGTCTCCAATACACTAGGGGAGGTTTTGAGATGCATGGGGACTACAGGGAAGAAAGAAACTATTTCCCATTTTAGTGTTGAATTGCTGCTGGAAGAAATCATCAGTGGAGCCACCTAAATGGATCCTGCCCAATATCTGGAATCCTACAGATTTTGTGCAATCACTTTAGTCTGGCAATGTGTTGCAGCAAACAAACTCGGATGCACACAAAGAATTTTGCCATCAACAAATTTTCTGTGTACACGGAGGTGAAAATGAAATTTTCTCCTTCCACTTCAACATATGGATCAATATGGCAGAAACAGGTATAAAATATATGCAATTAAAAATATGAATGCTGCATGAAAGAATTGTCATCATCTTTAGATAAAACCATAAGGACTGGGAATTGCTAAAGACTTGGAGTCTGTTTGATAAGTAATCATATACAAGATTTTTAAATGGTGGTAGTTAGAACCGATGAAAAGACCTCTTGGCATTACATTAATACAATTTTAAGACACATTTGCTAAAGAATGATGAGATGGGAAAGCCATTAATGTAACAGTTAAATGGATTAAGCATCATAGTGTCTTCTTTACATTATTTGATTGTTCATGGTTTGTCCCACATGAACATAACATTAAATAAGGACTCAATAAATTACAAAGACCATAGCATAGCACTGTAATGCTTTTATAGCAATATAAAATATGAACAAACTCTTTTTATGGGTCCCTTGTGACAACACTGAACTTGAGAGCTGTGCTCTAGCTTCACTCCTGAGGATAGTTTTTATAATGGTTGTTCATTATCCAGTGACTATTGCATTTTTCTGCCTGTTATGAATTTCTGCATAGCTAATTAGCCTGGAAACAATTACTGAAAGCAAGACAATTTAGCAGAGGTGGGTTGGTCACCATTTAGTGTGACCCATATGTTGTAGATTTTAAAATCATAGAAACTGACCTGGAAAGACCCTAAGGGAGGTATGGACCCCAAACGAAGGCAGATATTGAATACATGCTTACTTGTTGCTTGAAACAGGGAGAGGGCATGCACAAGGCCGGCAGTCATTAGGAAATCCTCTAACAATTCCATAGAAGCCAAGTGCACATTTCTCACAGTGGTCACCACTAGTGTTGTGACGGCAATTCTGTGGAGCAAAAGCAGAGAAGAACATATGGCTTTGAATCTGCCACAAAGAATCAGCTACTGGGACATGTGTTTTTTTTAAGGGCAGTGAGTTTGTCACTATTTCACTGACACTTCCTATTCAGACCGCAAGGTACTCAGCAGATCAGGCTATCCCATTTCCCCCCCCCAGACCTGCAATTCACTTTCCTTTGAAAAATTCAAAATGATAGTTTGTTTTGAAACAGCAAATTAAGGATTTTCCAAAGTACAAAAATGGAATGATATATACAGTAGTGCCTCGCTTGACTATTACCTCGTTAGACGAGGAAATCGCTTGACGATTAGTTTTTTGTGATTGCTATTGCGGTCGCTAAACGATGACTGAATGGGCTTTTTTCGCTTAATGCTGATCAGTTCCCTGCTTCGGGAACCGATTTTTCGCTTAACAATGATCAAAAACAGCTGATCGTTGGGTTTCAAAATGGCCACCCACTGTGCAAAATGGCTCCCCGCTGTGCTTTAGGATGGATTCCTTGCATTACAGGCACTGGAAAATGGCCACCCTATGGAGGATCTTCGCTGTACACTGAGGTATTTCGCCCATTGGAACACATTGAACCGATTTTCAATGCATTTCAATGGGCTTTTTCATTTCGCTTGATGAGGATTTCGCTTAACAACAATTTGAACGGAATGAATTATCCTCGTTAAGCAAGGCACCACTGTATGTATTTAAAATTACAAATTATCATATTTATATCATAGGTGCTAGTAATGCTCTCTCAAGTTAAAAAAATGAGGAGTGGTGGGATCAGTAATCCACAGGAACCTGCTTCAAAAGAACATGCAAAGTATTGAAGATCCCCAAACTTTCTCTGGCTTGGATCAAAAGGTGAAATTTTAAAAAGGACTAGAAAGCTTCTTGATTCTGCCTCTAAATAGCACAATAGGGAGACATCACACCATTGCATACCAAAGAAATTGATTTAATAGGTGAGTAGGGTGTGTGGAAATCAACCCTGAGTGCTCACTGGAAGGACAGATCCTGAAGCTGAGGCTCCAATACTTTGGTCATCTCATGAGAAGAGAAGACTCCTTGGAAAAGACCTTGATGTTAGGAAAGTGTGAAGGCAAGAGGAGAAGGGGATGACAGAGGATGAGATGGTTGGACAGTGTCATCACAGCTACCAACATTAATTTGACCAAACTCCAGGAGGCAGTGGAAGACAGGAGGGCCTGGTGTGCTGTGGTCTATGGGTTCATGAAGAGTCGGACATGACTCAACGACTAAACGACAAGGGTATGTGGAAATGATTTTGTATGTAGTGGTGGTAGTGGGAAAAATTAAACATCTCACAGGCTACCCACTATTGCTTTATTTTTGTCTATGGCTTCTTCACACTAAAACAAAGCAGAATTAAGAAGTTATGAATCTGAGGTCAGTTTATCCTAGAAATAATAATAATAAAGTCCAAGATCTTCTGTGTTTCTTTTCCCAGAAGATCTTGGATCACTCCCTAGATCATCTGTAGTCAACTTGCCCATTCTTAATTACACTTCCATTGGATATACAGTGAAAATGACTAGTCATTAGGCTATTTCTTTTAAACCAATAATTCCTTTCTTCCTCTCCCACAAATATACTTCCTCTAGCCAGTACGTAGGATTCTTCTATTAAAGTGGGCAATCGTTATTTCACTTCTTGAACTTTCACTGCTTCTTCTTTGCATGCATGTACCTTAGAGTCCTGTTGCCTCCCCCCATCTGTGCCCTGTTGCATCATGTCAAGCCTACATACTGGCCAACCACAAAAATTAAATGTGCGGATTGGATATAATGTTTTTAAGAACCCTTGCCTAAGAAATTATCTACAATTCATGTATCAAACAGTTTATTTGTAGTGCCAAATAATAAACCGATGTGAAGACATGTTTGCAAGCATACAGCAAGCCAGTGCCAAGACAAGGTGGCCATTCTTGATTCTACGATTCATGTGTTTCTAATTTATATTTTATTTTTGTCTTCATGGACAAGGACAGGTCTATATAAAGCAAAACATATTGACGGGACAAAGAGTGAGTCAGATCTAAACATTAAAACATTAAAAAAACAACAACACTATGTTTAGTTGGTCACTGTGCAAATGAATTCCATGCAAAGAATATTAAAGAATTACATAAAGATCAGACTAAGAAAAGTGTGTTTTTTGTACCTGACATTTTGAACTTTCAGGATCACACATCTCACTGTGCCCATGACACTGACATGGAACACAAGGATCTAAAGCTCGACCTGGCCTTCTGTCAGCAGATGTGGAAGGAAGTCTGTAAAATCCTAGGGAGCACGTCTGCAAAACATAAAATAAAAATAAATTAAAAAATCAAGAAAAACAAACAAACAAACAAACAAACAAAACAATTTCCATTATATTGTGGCCAGGGCAGGAAGACTAGAAGACTAGAAACACCTCTTCATCCCTACCAGTTTTGACAAGCAGTTTGCCCTCTCCCATTTCAACAGCAAGCCTCAAGCTTTTTTAAAAAACAAACAATGCACAGTTCACTTTATAAGCAACAGCAGCAATCCTAATTGAAAACACTGCTGCCAGATCCCCGGGGTAGAACAACAGCAGCAGGCATTTCATATTACAGCTTCAGAAGCCTTTCATTTAGATGCTCCCACCTTGTATATCATGTATCCACCCTTCTATTTCCTGCAAAGGGAAAGGAATTTTCTTTTTTCCCCTCTCTTTTTTTAAAAAAACATATTGTCCCACTCACTGTGCAAAGTGAGCAGAAGTACTCTGTTTTCCCATTGTCCTTGGTGTGTTTTTCTGAGATGACAAGCTAATATCTGCCTACACACTGGTTGATAGATAACAAGCAAATGCTCAGTGATACTCAGCAAAATATGTCTTCATGGCTACATTATTTATAATTTAAAGACCATAAAATAAAGAATTCAAAATAATAAAAATGCTACCATGTCCTGAGACCATTAGCCCTTGAAATAAAATATATCCAGGTCTCATATATTTTCTTCACCAAGCAGTAAAAATAAGCAAGCATACAGAAAATTACTATCAAAGCTGTCAGATGCCCCCTCCCAAAAGCAATTCTCCCTCTTCTGACCCTCCTTCTCTTACTTTTTCTTCCTTATCCCTTCCTTAATGTGTTTCATGTCCAACTAGAGTGCAAGCCTAGATACAAACTTTGCTTTATCAACATCAAGAGATAGAGCTGTAGGTAGCGTAAGACAACTAAGGCTTTGGTGTACGGTGCAGAAATTTAGAGAAAACATTTTTTTTCCCTTCTGGAACTGCAGAAACCTGCCTAGCCCAAGGATGTATATGCTGCCTTCAGCCACTCTGCCAAGCAAAAGAAAACACAAGAGAGGTGGGTTTGGCATAGAACTGATACACTTTTCATGCACTGAGACTCTGTATTCATCCCCTTACTCTTTCCCTGCCTGGGTTGTTCTCCCATGATTCAAGTTTAACCAATTGGGCAGTAAAGTCCCGAGCTCCAAAACTGCTAGTGCAATAGATATGATGGTGATGATGAGGATGATTTGTTTAAAAATGGGGGGAGGAGGAGAAGGAGAAGGAGGAGTGTGATATAATGTAAGAAGTGAAGAAATCAGCACCGTGATTGTGCAAGAGTCTAAGTGCCATTGTGGGCAACAGATGGAGACACAGGTAGTTAAGGTTTCCTAGGGCCCCAGATGGTTCCGGGTTACAACACCCCAAAGCCTGATCCAGCAGACGCAATAGTTACTGCTTTTGGCAATTGTAGCCAAATAAAATCTGGGTCTTCAAGTTTGGAATCACGGCCATAGACTGATACTCTCAGGCTTGTTTTTGCTTCCTTGTATACACGGCTTCCTCTTTTCATGTCAAAATAAACATTAAGGGGATTGCATATTCCCTGCTATTAGCATGTTTTTCCTTTGACAGTGGAACAAAGGCAAGTTACAGTTGCCTGCCTCAGCAATCACACTTGCAAATTATGCCACTGTTTACCATCCAATGACTAATGTCAAAACAAAGTATGCTGCAATTAAAGGTATGGAAGTGAGGAAAAGCAGGTGCTAGGTAGGACAAACTGACATTTTTTCCTAACTGAAGTTAACAGCATTCTTCAAATATGGGCAAAATGCTTAATCTGATTTGACCCTCTGAAGAACACAGAATAAGTTATACATTCTGGCTGCTGCTGGACTCAAATAAATATGTAATTGGCGAGACAGTTGAGAAATGAAATGTTGAAAAAATATTCATCAAGGTAGCTATAGTTGCTTTCTGCCTTGCAGATCCTGAATTGAGTAGAGAAATGGAGTAAACGCACTGCCCAGCAATTGACAACATTTGGCCCTCTTAGTATTTTAGCCTTCGGTTGCCAGTGCTGGATAAGCTACTGAGAATGGGAGTCCAAAATTCCTGTGGGCCAATGATTGAGGACCACTGGAGTAGAGGACCTCCAAGCCTAAGATTGCTATATGTTTCTATGAAACCATTAAGTTCTAGTTAGTCTTCAAATGCCATCATCAACACTGTTAAGATGAATACATAAAAGTGGAAGAGTCACCGTACCTCACACGATAAGCCAGAATAACCCAAAGGACAGTCACATTTCTCAATCAACTGGGCACGAGGAGTCCTTCCTGATACACTTCCTTCCTGTGCAACCTCCATGGAAATTTCAGAAATCCTGACAGAAGAAGGGAAAAACAATGAAGATTACTTAAAGGAACCTTTTGCCACTAATTTCCAGGTACCAGCATAAAGCTACTTTTACTCAGCCTCATGGTATTATCCACACAAGAAAACAACATGTATTTTAGTGTATCTGAATGGAAGATCAAAGCTAGCACTAGCTCTGACTTCATTTCACTCATTATCAGCTGCAGCAGTGGTACTAATGTAAAAGATAATTGCTTATTCTTCTTCAGCGTGATTGTTTGCCCCAACTGGTGCCCGAAAGCTGAAAAATATCATTTTGAAAAATACTGTTCTTCATTGAGATGAGACCTGCTTTGTATTTTGGTTTTGGTTTTCTTATTGGTTACCATACGATCCTATGTAACACCTAGATATCAGGGGGCAAAACAATGATATAGCTGGACACCCTTCCAGGTAACTTGAAGTTTCTGAAATGCCTGCTTGTTTCTCAGATGAAAGACACATATTTGAGTTTGAGGGTGCAATTAGATGGGAAGAAAGGATCATATCTGATGGCACAAGTAAGTAAGTAAGTAAGTAAGTAAGTAAGTAAGTAAGTAAGTAAGTAAGTAAGTAAGTAAGTAAGTAAGTAAGTAAGTAAGTAAGTAAGTACTATCTATCTATCTATCTATCTATCTATCTATCTATCTATCTAATCTATCTATTTGATTTATATACTGCTCCATTAATGCTGGAGCACTATTCTGGGTGGCTGACAGAAAGTTAAAACAAACTACACAGAATTAAATGCAACATAAATAGCAAAAATACAGTGTTAAAACTTAAAACAATGGCACAATCAATTTTCAGAGTGAGGCAAGATGGAGGCAAGGCATTCAACTGGGGTTGACGTGAAAGGCCTCTCTGAATAGTAGTGTTTTTAACTGCCTTCTAAATGAGTACAGAGAGGGGGCCAGGTGTAGCTCCTTTGGGAGCTGATTCCATAATGTAGGTGCCACTACCAAACAGGCCCTACCTCTAGTGGATGACTTTCGGGATTATCTTGGAGTGGCAACAAGGAGGAGCCTGCCCTGATATCTGGTGGATCAGGCAGATGATACTGGGGAAAGATGCTCGAACAAGTAATGCGGTCCCAAACTGTGAAGGGCTTTATATGTGAGTGTCAGAATCATGAAACATATCTGGGACACAACAGGTAATCAGTTGAGGGTGGCCAGCACTGGGGAAAATGCAATCAAATTTGCTCACACCAGCCACCAGTCTGGACCTGCTGCAGTCTCTGAGTCAGTCTCAAGGGAAGCCCCATGTAAAGAATAATGCAATAGTCAATCTGAGAGCTTACCAATGCCTGAGAGGCCCCTGAGAGAGCCTGTCCAGAAGGATATTGTGGTCGATGGTATCAAAAGCCGCTGAACAATCAAGGAGAACCAGCAGGGTACAATGGCCCCTGTTGGCCTCCCTTAAAAGGGCATCGTGCACTGCAGCCAGAGTCATCTCAGCACCCCTTTGTGGCCTGAATCCAGACTGGAATTGGTCAAGACTTTTCTGGTCCTCCAACTGTCTGAAGCTTTGCTGGGAAAAATCATCCTTAAAGCAACCCTTCTGTTAATGCAGGAATCACTCAGCCCCAGCCCCAAAAGCGCTGCCCTGCCACTGGATCAAAAAGGTCGAGCTTGGGCATAGGTCAGGGTCAGGCTGATTGCTATTACCCATACACTGTGTGATTGCCAGGAAATAGCTTGCACCAGACCATGCCAGAAGCGACTCAAAATGTAAGTTATTTCTGAATCTCATCACACCCTTAGTAGTGTTGGGTTTAAGTTGATTCCATATACACCACGTCCTTCTAATGCACCTGTTAGGAGGATGTTCTAACACTTGAGATCTATCCAACTGAACAGCAAATGTGAGAGTGTCAGCTTAAATAAAATTTTCAGTACTTTGAGGAATGGTTGACTATTGGTGTTGAAGTTAAGCAAAATGGGAGGCAGTACTCTTCCCCAGGATAGTGATTTCATAAAAATGACACCATTGTGAGATCAGCTTGAAGGCAGTAGATTCTTTACCAGGTTTCAAAATTGCTATCGCATGTGCCGTTTTCCAAATTTTTGAATCCTAAAAGAGTCAAGTTTCTATTAAAGAAACTGAGGAGTCACCTTTTTTGCTATTGTGCCAAAATGTTTTATATGTCCATGCAGGCCTGCTGCCTTGCCATTTTTGCAAATACAAATAGTTTCTTCCAGTTCATATAAAGTGAATGATCTTGTAAGATCATCAGTCTAGAGCTGCTTGTTTCTTTCAGTCCAAATGGTGGACCACTTAAAAACAAACAAACAAAAACAAACAAACTGCTAGTGTTCAACCCATATCACCTGAGCTTGATTTTTGATTCTGTAACGATGGCATTGGTTGTTTCAGGTTTAAATTGTACTTTGCTTCTGTTCTGACACTGATGAGGAGCTGATGGTCTATTTAATCTGATGAAATGTTTTCATGAGTAGGGCCTTTTTTGGGGTCGTTATGCCACTTTAGTAATCTATAGGCTTCTTGACTGTTTCTTGACATGTCTGTTTCTTCCATAAGTGTTATCCAATTATCTCTTTTAGTTTCTGAGATTGAAGAAATTAATTGCTGCCCAGGCAAAATGGTTTCTTCACTCAAGGGATTTTGTTGAAATAGTGAAAAATAACTATTCATTTGGATGACTCCTTCTGATGGAGACAGTTGGCTCTGCATCCTTGGGACATGGACAGTCGGAATGATTTTATCACTACCTTGATGAACTGATGCTGGGTCTCTATAGCATATTCAGTACAATTCCATCCAGTGATGTACTGAACGTCTTCCAATTGGGTTTTAAAATACTGGTACTGTAGCTAGTTGGACCTTTGTCATGTTATGGGCCAGTATCATATATTCAGAACTGTATTACAGATTCAATTCATACTCTGTTGAATTGGCAAGAGCCAATGTCAACTCTGGACAATAGCCATGTTTCCTCTTCCACTATCGAAAGATGGGGCAAGCTTACTATTGTGAGAGTTTGCTAGCTGGGAAATATTCACTGATTTTACCACTTATTCTTTTTTATCATCAAGTGCACATCCCCAGATATTTCTTTATAAAAATTGTTAGGGATTTAGGTGAACAGGTATTAGGTGGAGCTCCACTGTTGTTATGGATTAGACAATTGTGAAGGTCAGACTTGATTAATTGAGCATTTCTGTACTGGCTATGAGGTCTTTCCGCTACAAATCTCAAACCAGATATTTTGTGGCATCACTGACGGCCGTCTCTATGCATTTCTTAAATGCAAATTATTGAACAATTATTTGTCTGACACAGCTGATGTAGCAGTTCTTCTTTAGGTATTGACAAGCTATATTACTAAAAGTTATTAATTTTGGCCTTAACAAGAGTCCTTTCATTACTGATGGCCACTTGCAAGCCATTGTCATTCACCCAGTACTGTCTGTACACTGAGTGGCTTCAAGAAGATCCTTCTGAACTGGAAGGGTTAGCCAACGGATTCTGTTGTTGCCTGGAGATACTAAAATGTATTCACGTTCTTTGAAGAAGTTCTTTTGATATCATAAGAATATGTGAAACAAGGAAAACATGTCCAGTACCTCTCTGATGACTCCTGTACCAATTTCCTTATTTTTAATTTATTTATTTTTCTATGTGTTACACCAATATTTTTGGCAGCCAGAGAAACAATCCATATGCAGCAAATGTATAGTATGAACAGAGAGCACCTAAATGCACAAGACACCAAACGTGGCTCCAACATATCTGCTGGAAAATGATGCTCATGGACAAGTGAGGCTTGGCTCTGTGAAAAGCTCACTTAATGGAACCAAGTCTGAACAATGATGCCCAAACAACATTGAAAATTCTGAAATAATCAAAAATACATGAAAACTGAACATCCTGTTCAAATAAATTGATTGCATAAAGTCTACTTTCTGATAAAAGAAAACCACCACTCAGTATAAGAAATTGTTTGGTTTTGAGTAGTGAATGTGAAAAGAGTAACAATAAAATTAACACAGCAGGAGAAAAATGCTTAGTTTAACTTTTCAGTGGCAGCCTCTGAATCACTCACTGTAATACTGCCGCTTTCATGTAGAAAAGTGATTAGCACTGCTGCTAAATTACACAGCTAATACAGGGCCAGCACTGGAATTAAGCTATTTTAATACTTGAACCTACCATCAGCATGAGGTTTCCTTATGATATTTTGGTGCAATATCAGTGATCCATTTACAAACATTTCAGTCAATCTCATTTTCATATGTGCCTGAATTAATTCAAGAGGAGGCGTAGGAAAAAAATTGGTTTCACCACCCCATAATTCCTCCTATGCCTACAACCTAATTGTATTTTAATTGTTTTTATCTTTTTTTACTGTATTTTAATTGTTGTAAGCCACCTAGAGACCTTTGGGTAGTGTGGGCGGCAGAAAAGTTAAATAAATAAATATTCAGGCTGGAAAGAACTTAAGAATTATTCCACGAGTGTTATCCAAATATCTCTTTTAGCTTCTGAGATTGAAGACATTAATTGCTGCCCAACCAAAATGCTTTCTTTTCTCAAGAGAAAAATTGTTTCCTCACTCAAATAAAGAACTTAAAAATTCTTTTAAAAAAAATGAAAACTGACAAATTCAACCATTTAGGCAGAAATCTTTTTTGAGTACTTTGCTTTTAATTGATTAATCAATTTATCTTGACTTTCAACCCTTTTTGTGGTGCTAAATTCTTGGTAGCCACCTCTTTCTTTCTGATACACTCGTCAACTTTAATACTATATCTGTATTGCAGGCAGGGACAACCGTCTCTGCTGAGAAAAGTGATTTCTCTTGCATTTGGCAGTGTGTGAAACCATCAAAGTGCAAGTTGGAAGAGCAGTTCTCAGTCAAAAGCTGTGTGTACTTTAAACCCAGCTGCCTTCATCATAGGCATCCTTCAATCTCAAGAGACTATGATAACGTGCTCTGTATGGAGGACTTGGAACAGCGTCAAGTGTTTTGACATTGTACGCGAAGCTGGAGTATCCTCTCCAGGGCACAAAGCCTGGGTAAAATAATATGGAGGCTAGGCTGTTACCCAAGCAGCAGATTCCCCCCTCTCCACGTCACTGAAATAGTCCAATGTAAAGGCAACAGCCGATACAACTGGTTTCAGTAATGTCGCAGGAGTTGACAGAATGACACGAACTGCCTCGGGGACTCCGGCTCCGGATTTTGCCTCAAGGTTAACTCCTTAAGCCTTTTCCATCATTGGATATAGCCACTAGGCAGTGGAGGTTTGAAGTCAGAGTTTTCCATCTCCTAGATGGGCTGCCTTCCAGGGCTGAATGAGTCCCACCTACCCGGCCTGTTCCATCACGGCATGGAGGATGATGGCGGCGCCTCAGTGGGGTTCTTTTTAACTAAGAGCACAGAGTGCTGTCCTCTGAAGATGCTGGCCACAGAGACTGGTGAAACATTAGGAAGAACAACCTTCAGAACACGGCCAAAGAGCCCAAAAAACCCACAACAACCATTAGGTCCTGGCCATGAAAGCCTTTACGAATACATTGTATTTAATGTATTGTTTTATATGCATTGTTTCAGGAAGCTTTACTTTGTCTGGCAATTGAGAAAAATAATTTGAATAAATAATTCTTATGGCATTTGTCTGTAACCCGGATTGAGATGGTACAAAATTGTTACCTGCTTTGCCTCATGAAGCTCCCATGAGTAGCCTTAATAAGTATGTAATGAATTTTGTACAGAACATCCATGAAATCCTCACGGGTCACAGTCCGACTGACCCTTGGGTCATCGCCATAATATTTCCATTCATGCTGAAAATAAAACAACACCATCACCACAAATGATTTAATGGTTTCCAAAGTGCCAGTGACACAACCTCTTAAACAAGCTGGCTTGAAAAATTACCTCTGTCATTTCTATCTCGTGCCTTGTCAACTGGCCATTCAGAGGAGCAGCTATGTGCCTGACAATTATTCGTGTCTGTGTGGGAGTCCCACCTCTGATTATGACCTGGGGGTTATAGGTTGCAAAGCCAGTCTCTTCTCGTGCTTCAAAGAAGATAGCATATTTCAGTTTTCCCCCATAAGCTGTCAGCTAACAAAGAAAAACAAATCATATAAATATTGGTTGGGTGCAGAAACCAAGCAATATGCAAAAAACATATTTGTAGGACATGCATATTCAAACAGTAAAATTATCAGTAAGATGAACCACCTGAAAAATGTTGTTCCTTAGATTTAAGATTACTGCAGGTGAATACAACTTTTAAAAATTGTTAAATGGTTTTGAATAAGTACAGCTAACAATAGCTGAATCAGCTGTGTTCTGTATTGAAGCCCCCATAGAGACCCAACAAACCATTTGCTGGTTTTTCACAATCTATCCTAGTTTTCCTTCAACAGACTTAACATATCAAACTTTCTGGAATTTGAAAAGTCATGCCACCCTATGTCAAGCTAACATTAAGTTCACTTCAAAATGGTGGAGCTTTTTGTACTGTGTTTCACAAACGCATCTCTATGGATGACAGGATTAGGTCAGCTAGAAGAAGACTGCGTTCCTTTCTATGAGATTCCAAACTGATTCTGTCAACCAAGGCAAAAAGAGAATGATATGCTTGGAGCAGGGTCCTGCCTTAATTCTTCCCTCAGTACTCAGATGATTGTGACTCAGCCTTGGTCAGCATGACCTTATCCGCTATCACTATTATAAAGACTGTTATCCAGCGTACTTTGCCTCAAACACAGGACAAAAAGAATTAAGTGGTGCCTTGCAAGATGATGTTAATGTGTTCTGCAAAAATCGCTGTCTTGTGAAAACATCGTCTTGCGAAATGCGGTTCCCCATTGGAATGCATTGAAATCCATTAAATGCGTTCCAATGAGGGGAAAAATAGTCGTCTTGCGAAAATTGCCCATAGAGAAACCGTTTTGCGAATCACAGACCCAGCTGTCAAAATCACTGTCTTGTGAAAAACTGTCCCTAAAAAACTGTTTTATGAAGCGCAGACTCAGCTGTCAAAATCATTGTATTGCGAAAAACGGTCCCAAAAAAACACCGTCTTGCAAAGCACGGACCAAAACATCATCTAGCGAAAATCACCCATAGGGAAAACCGTTTTGCAAAGTGCTATAGCGATCGCAAAAACCCATCGTCTTGCGAATTAACCATTTTGCGAGGTAATCATCTAGTGAGGCACCACCGTAGTAGTATTTCTGCTCTTCTTATGCTTGCCTTTCACATGCACAGCACCTTAGCAGAAAAATGTTGTTACTATAAACAGTAATATCTTAGAATTAAATGCTAGAAAAGTCCAGAGCACCTAGATACTATGATCGTTCTTTAAAAAAAAAATTCTAAGGAAACATTCTCTTCTAGTTTTTCTATTGTGGGCACTGATGTGCAAGAGAGAATTCACAGTTAAGGCTGTGATGATATTACCTTAAAATTCTTCCTAAGTACATATCAGTTGTTCCTAAACTTTCAAGAAAAGGGATAGGAAATAGAATAACTACAAAATACCATATCTAATCAAAATCTTTTTACCTTTTGTCCTTCAAACTGTTTTGGAAGTCTCCAGTAAAATGGTTCTGAATGTAATTCTTGCATCACTAAGTCCATATTTGCAATTGTCTCTGGATATTGGTATACAATTCCATGCACGGTTTGGTGGTGGACATTTTCATCAACAAGAGGAAGAATGACCTGATCTGGCTTCAGAGTCAACTGTAAGCAATCAAAGAGGTGAGAAAAAGAAGTAAGAGGTTTTTGTTAGTTTGTTTTTCAAAGCATGCACTGCTCATTTCTCTACTCTTTAAGATATGGGACAGAATACTTTAGGGCTCTGTTTTTTTAAAAATCAGACTTTCATGATCCAAAAACTGGAGTCATGTATAAATGAAAATCCTGAATAATGGTTTAAAACAGAATTAATATAGGTCATAGTAGACCTTGGCTGTATGCAGACTTCTCTCCAGCACGTAATTCAAACCACAGAAATAGACACCATATCCACATCATTGCCCTCCACATATTGGGAGAGTGAATGGGGAGCCTGATTTAGTCAAGTAGCTTCCCTGCACTTTTAAAAGCCTGCATGTTTGCTGTGCAAGGCACCTATATAAATGTATCAGTCTCCCCACTGTAGACAGTTGTCTTCCAACACATGGAAGTAGATGTGGCAATTAAATAAAGGAAAGACAACCATCCTTGAAAACATCAGTCTTTTTCTGGAACTTCACAAGATGCCTGTCTAGCAGAGAAGCAGCCCTGAACTGACATTATTATTTTTCTACTGTATCTGTAGCAGATCCAGTACTATGACAGCACACTTCTTTGAAGTGCTAATGCCAAAATGAAGTGCCTGACTTCACTCTGGAGGTGTTCCTGGCACCCATGCATTAGACATGCTAATCAGCAAGAAACTAGTTAATGCTCAAAGTATTTCAGATGTATGCTTCAGTGTCATGATACCTGTGTATCAGAGGGTTTGCCAGTTTGCACTCAATCTGTTCTCAAACAGATTGGAATGGTTTGAAGTTCTAAATGTTCAGAGAGACTACTGTGGGAAGCTGCAAGGCTAATTTGAATAGGAGCATTCAAAAGATGGATAATTGATCATTAGGGAAAATTTAAATCATGCACTTTGCACCTTCCAAAATATATGTATGGGTGGGGAAAGGCAGCTACAGGAGAGGCAATGTTTTAATTATCTTAGGGTGCAATCCTACACAAATTTACTAGGAAAAAAGTTCCACTGAACACAGCAGGACTCACTTCCTAGTACACGAACAGACACACACACACACACACACACACACACACAGACGTGCCTGCACACAGACCTGCCTGCACACAGACATACACACCCATATAATTTGTCGACATGTAATCTTTACTGACTCAACTATAGTATTTCAGCTCATGATATACAGTCATGGCCAAAAATATTGGTACCCTTGCAGTTCTGTCAGAAAATGCAAGTCTTCTCAGAAAATTGTTGCAGTTGCAAATGTTTTGGTACTCACGTGTTCATTTCTTTCCTTTGTGTTAGAATAACAGACAAAAAAAAAAAAAAAACAGAGAAGGAAAGTCAGATCTGATACAATCCCACACGGAAACCCAAAAATGCGCTGGCCAAAATTATTTGCACTCTAAATTGTAAGAAATAATTGCTTTTCAAGCATGTGATGCTCCTTTAATTTGTATTTAGACACACCTGTTACAAGTAAGAGGTGTGGGCAATATAGTAATCACATTTGCAACCAGTTAAGATGGAGAAAAAACATCTTAACTGGTTGCAAGTGTGGTTACTATATTGCCCACACCTCTTACTTGCAAGAGGTGTGTCTAAATTGCAAGGGTGCCAATATTTTTGGCCATGACTGTATCAATGAAATTGGAAAGCACCTCAGATAAACTCTTTTACTTTCCACTGAATGCCAAAAGGGCAGCTCACAAATACAATTTTATTTCTTATCACTTGATTACTAGCAAAGGAGGACTTGCAGCTGAATGTATGAACCAGTTCCACTGAATTGTATTGTAGTAGATGAAGTGTTATATGAAGAGTTCTATATCTGGCGCTTGATCTGTAATGGCTTGTTCACATGCAAATCATCACTTAATACCCCACTCATCAAGTAAACAGTGTTAATGCGTGAACCATATCAGAATTCTGAATATTGTATTCACATACTTTAGTACTGACCTTTCCCTCCCCTACTAGTCAGAATACTTGAACATTTTGATGCAAGTTCTATGAAAGATTCTGATGAGTGCAGAAATAAGATGGAAAGTTTACATTTTCATATAGAGCAAGCATAACTGCATAATAATGATCATGTTCAGAAAAGTCAATTCTGATTTATGTCAAACCTTTTCAGAGTTTTCTAGGTAAAGAATACTCAGAAGTGGTGTACCGTTCCTTTCTTCTGGGGGTTATCCTGGGACTGCGCAGCTTGCTAAGTTCATAATAAGCATCCAAAATCTCTTTCTATAGATTTTTGATAGGGAGGGCTGTGGATACAATCATTGCCTTTGCATCCATGCCACATCTATTCTGATTTATGTCAAACCTTTTCAGAGTTTTCTAGGTAAAGAATACTCAGAAGTGGTGTACCGTTCCTTTCTTCTGGGGGTTATCCTGGGACTGCGCAGCTTGCTAAGTTCATAATAAGCATCCAAAATCTCTTTCTATAGATTTTTGATAGGGAGGGCTGTGGATACAATCATTGCCTTTGCATCCATGCCACATCTATGGATTCCTGTAAGTTTATAATAAGCATCCAAAATCTCTTTCTATAAATTTTTGATAGGGAGGGCTGTGGATACAACCATTGCCTTTGCATCCATGCCACATCTATGGATTCCTGTTTTCCCTCTTCTTTCCAATATCTTTAACAAAATAAAACACAACTGCAGCTTGAGAGGGGGTGCTGCAATAGAATGCATGGTATAGGTATCCTTCAGTCTCAAGAGACAATGGTAACATACTCTGTATGGAGGTCTTGGAACAGCATCCAGTGTGGCTGAAATATCTTTAACAAAACAAAACACAACTGCAGCTTGAGAGGGGGTGCTGCAATAGAATGCACGGTATAGGTATCCTTCAGTCTCAAGAGACTATGGACGAATGAAAAATAAAAAGAAATAAAAAATAAAAAGCAAAAATAAAAATTTTAGAGACTAATGATTTACTTTTGCCAACATGGTGAGACAGATTAACACAGCTATGTTTTTTTTTTATATACTGATGGACACTTAGTCTGTTATACAACAGAATTTTGGAATAGTTCTACAATAGCACTCTTTAGCCATTTTGTTTTTTCTGGTACTCACATTTACACATTTCTTTCCTACCTCCTGTGTGTAAATTTTAACATTCAAGTTCACTTTGTTTTTATAATCGTTCTACTCCAGATTAATTTTGATCCTCCTTCTTCTCTTAGAAGTCTGATGGACTAGTTATATTGCCCCCCACACCTGTGGCAGCCTATGGCCACCTATTCCAAAACTGTCAAGGTGGTGCGTCTATTAGGATGGTTGAGCTCATGAACAAAAATAGTGCTGCAGTTGCTTTAAAAATATTTTTTAAAAATGTATTTACATATAAATTCTCTTAGTATAAATTTTAATTTATATAGATTGAAAGATTCTGGTTTTCCTCACTCGTTCATATCTAAGAAATAAAGAGTGCTATATTTGCCTGAAAGAATTTTCCCTCACTTGACTATATTACCTTCTCCTGGGTCTTAATAGCTTTCTTCCAGGTCTTGATACCTATTACCGTATTCGAGATTTTTTGTGAATGTTTTGACCTCGATTGCCTAATGGAACATGGTCTTCAATCCACTTCTCAATGTACACAAGGGAGAAATTGCTGAAATGTTTTCTTCTATATTTCATGTCCCAATCTCTGTGTCTGACTAAAAGACACCAGCAGGAAACAACATTATCCCATTACATGGCTCAGCAGTCCTTTACTCACCCACATGCGGACCAGCCCCTTTGCCTCACTGCACTGTGATGTCAGGCCAAAGCAGTAGCAGCTGCTGCAGCCAAGTGGGTTCCTGGCAGAGAGCCCAAACCTGCCAGGTTTGCACCTGTCACAGTAGAGACCTTCCACATTAATCTGTTATAGAAGCAGAGAGGAAAGCTTTAGAGACAACAGCATCTTCCCTCCATGACCTGAATTGCACACACACACACACACACACACA